TGCGTTCGTATGTGTATGTATGTGTATATATATATATATATATATATATATATATATATAAATAAAGCAGAGGTTATAACGTTCCTTTCATTTTTCAATTTGCGATTTTATCGAAAACGTTACTCACAGCGAGTCATGCGTTTCGTCGTGCTTTTTACGATCATGCTAATAAAATACTTTTATATATTCTGAACTACATTTTTTTCCCGTAAGATTTCACTTTTTTTTTTATTTCTAGTAGCAAGGATATTAATTCGATTCATTTTATATTGGAGCACATTGTGTATGTAAAAGTATCTGAAAGAATAACTACTATATATTAAATTTAAAAGGCATTTTAAGATAAGGTCATGTTACTGCTACTGTAAAATCCTCGAAATAATAAACACATAAAACCATTGTTTGAGGATTATAAAGTAAAAATCCCTACAATGGTAGTAGTACTTTCTAGAAAATATTTTCTGGCAGGTCGACGACTACAATTGCCTATTCAAAATTTTATTAGGGTTTCATTATTTACGTTACGTCAAATGGATCTAAGTTTAATAAGATCTGACATGCTTACAATGCTTCAAAATTCGTTAAAAAGTCGGTAGCTTACTATAGATTTTAAGTGATCATTACAAATACCATTTTGAAACGGATATTGATAAATTAATATTAATGGGTCTATCTACAAATATTTTCCGACAAAATGACAAAAGAATATTTTCTTCTTTCCGATAATTCCTTACAAAAAAAAAATAAAAAATAAAAAATAAAAAGAAATAACATTATAAAAAAGAAAAGAAGAGAAAATGAAAAATACGATAAAAAGGATATTCCCATTATCTTCATTGAAGGACATAGGAAAACTATCAAATAGGCGCTCGAATATTCATGGAAAATGAATTTTCAAAATCGATTATCAGTAAAACGTGTTATCTCCATTTTCTACATCTTTTTTCTGAGCTTAGAAAGAATTAGATTATTCGGTAAGAATTTTTTACTTTATTGCATATCATTAAAACTTTTATGATTTTTGAGACCCATATTTACAGAAACGATCCTGCATGAAGAAAGCAAAAAAACGTGAAAGCTAAGTTCACCTTCTCGTTAAACTACTACTACTCATCTTGTTTCTTCTTCTATTCGAATAAATATTAAAAATTAGAAAAATGAAAAAAAAAGAAAGAAAAAAATACGCAGAGAATTATTTCAATCCTGACAATTGTACAGATGATTATGAAAGCTTTATAATTGTATGACAAAAATTAAAATAAATGAAAATTAATTTATTGCGTAATTCGTATAATTGGATCATTGCTATAAGAGTTACACAATGAATTAATGTTCTTTTCTTTATTTTTATTTTCTTAATTTTTGACTTACTTTAAAACACTTTCATGATCGCCAATTTCAATAATCATAGATAGAAAAATTAAAGTACCGTAATGCTTTCTGATATATATATATATACATATATGTATACATATATATATATATATATATATTCTTTTTTATTGAACACTTTAACCAAGTGTCCAGATCGAAAGATCTACTATACTGTGACAATTCTTCTGTTAGCTTGTTTTTGAGACCTCTTTCCAAACGATATCGTCTGCTTAGTCTCAGCGACGGAACAGACGCCCACTGCTTCTGCTTTCTTCTTACGGGGGTGTTATATGCCTCCTCCGAATTATTTCTATGTATTACCAAGAAGTAAATCACTTCTCGCAAAACTTATATACGTATACATATATATACATATGCACGATTCAACTCAGTTTCAATATTCCTTTCATCCCATCTTTCTACCATCCTTCAACATTTATTCCTCTCTTTCACGTTGTTTAAAATCTTACCATTCGTATCGTCTGATTATATATAATTTTATCTTCTTTTATATAGATATGTACACATCGATAAATTAATGACAGAGTATTTACCAATCTCACTTATATACTAATATATAAACTATTTCTGTGTACGGTCTGCCCATAAGTACGCTATAGCTCGAGTGAGAAGACGATAAATTAGAAAAGATTCTCGAACATTTCACACCGAAACCAATTAAGAAGTTTGTTTTTCTTAGAAAGAATATATATATACATATATACTCTCTCGCAACTCGAAGTGAGAAAAGTCAAAAGTTTGAATTCGAATGTATTTCTTAAAAAGGAAACGTAAATGCTAATGTCGTTGCAAAAAAAAAGAAATAACAAAAAATGAAATAAAATAAATTAAAATAAAAAAAGAAAAAAAAAAAAAACAAATAAGAAATAATAAAAAAAAAAAAAGAATAGACAAGAAGTATACAATTAAATGAAGAGATACAACGTTAAGATCTTCGTTATTTAATATAACTTCCTACCGTTTGTTATCAATATTTCTACGAATTTTCAGCAGTGGATATAATATATACGTAGATATATTCTACTACCAAATCGAAACCACACCCTCTCGATTAAAAACGGTTCGCTGACTGTTCACGCGATACGTTATCATATTTTATCGAATATTTGTAGATTCAGAGGTTAACACTTTCCTGCTACCGTGCCGATCAAATCAATCTATTTCATGTAAGTTGGTTTTTCTCTGAAAAGCCCTTCCTTCTTCTCCTTTTCGACGTGGCCATACGTCATGGACGTTCGTACTTTTAACTTGATATCGTGGATCAATGCTCGATAAGGAATAATAATCGTTGCACGTTCTTCTTTGGATCTCAAATTACAGCCGACGGGGCATGCTTCAGTAACTCTAACTTAAATGATAAATAAACAATAATTTTGAAATAAAGAGTTAAGCAATCAACATAAAAGGAAGTCATTGTCACCTAACACTGTATCTATCAATCTCGTTATCATTACTTCTCTCTCACACACTTTCTCTCTCTCTCTCTCTCTCTCTCTCTCTCTCTTTCTCTGTGTGTGTTTTATCATTCGAGCTACCAAGTCTCTAGATGAAAATATCAAATCTTGCAACGCTCTAAATGTGAATGAAAAGGACGAAATAAATAAGAACATTTCAAGCCGTCATACGTTTATATAAATAAAGAAAAAAAAGAGAGAGAGAAAGTTAGTGAAAGAGAGAAAGAGAGAGGAAGGATCAGACTAATATTTAAGATCGAACGTAATAAGGTCGTTGTCGATCGATCAAGCAAAATAGAAAAAGAAAAAAATCGAAAACACGAACGACATCGGGCGTATGAGAATAATATCTCGGAGAAGGAACTAACAATAAGATCGCAAATGAAAAACGGGCAGGATCGATCGATCGAGATCAAGAGAGAGAGAGAGAGAGAGAGAAAGAGAGTGGGAAGAAGGGTGGGGGAGAGAGAAAGAGAGAGAAAGAGAGGTCAGATTGATCGGCTTTTTCCGTCGTCTGTTTCTCGATACGATACGGGCGTGTTCTCGCATATAACGTACGTACATAAACATATACACAACATACAAAGATTTACACGGCTACATACGACACCTTCGTCGGCGCGTTTCACGATTTTATGCCAGTGAGACGGAAGACAAGGGGGTGGGGGGTCGGCGGTTGAATGGGTGGGGACGTGCCGAGGTACGCAAGGGACACATCAAAGGTGCCGCTATCGGCGCAAAGCCGCTTTAACGCTCGTACACCGTTTATGTGTACACACCCTCCTCCTCGCATCCTCATCGTTCTCCTCCTCCTTCTCCTTTCCTCCACTTCCTCATCATCGTTGTCGTTGTCGTCGTTGTCGTCGTTGTCGTCGTTGTCGTCGTCGTCGTCGTCGTCGTCGTCGTCGTCGTCGTCGTACGCCACACGACTACTACCTATGCAGAGAATTATGCTCTCTCTCTCTCTCTCTTTCTCTCTTTCTCTCTTTCTCTTTCTCTCTTTCTCTCTTCTCTCTCTCTTTCTCTCTTCTCTCTCTCTCTCTCACTCTCTCTCTCTCTCTCTCTCTCTCTCTGAAAAATCTTTCACGATATATCGTCCCACCGGATATTGGAGCGCATAAATATTCCTCTGCTGCGTGGGAGTACTTTTTACGTTGCACACCGACAGCAGGCCAAGTTCGAAATCAAAACGTGGACAATGAATTTTATATGTATATATATATATATATATATACACATAATATAAAAAAAGAATATATATATATATATATCTACATATTCTTTTTTTTTTCTCTCGAGCATGCATAAAAATTCAATCTATCTAATGTAATATGATAAAGTCGTCAATATGATTATTGTTAATTATTGATGAAAGATCAAGTAAAGAGATCGAAATTATATTATATTGAATGAGAATGTACTTACGTAATTACATATGTACATACATATATGGTATATACTTTTGGCCATAGGTTCGACGTTGTTTATTTTAATATGAGATGTCAACGAGAAAGGACGAATTGTATCTCATCGTTCAACGACGAAATCTATTTAAAACATCTGTGTTCTACTAACAAAGCGATAAGTGAATATTATTCGATGATAAGCTCGATCGAGAGAAAAGATAAAAAGCTATGTAGATTCGAATATTCGCAAATAAATTATAAATAAATAACAACTATCGTTATGTTACAAAATTATGAGAAATAATGAGAAAGTATGATAAATATCTCGAGCTTCTATCTCATGGCACGCTTACGGTACAAACTTTTCGTCCTTGGTTGCTGTTTTCAAAGTAACCACCCGCCAGGAGCCGTTTTAATGAAAATAAGTAATATTGCAAACAGGAATTGTACCGTCATAAACGGTACAATTCCTGTTTCTGGCAATGGCCTTGTAAATATGAAAGTTTCTTAAGGTACCTTCTACTTGTCTTTTTCTCTCTCTTCTTCTTCTTCCTAAATTTTCGCAACGTTCCTCGAGTTCCATACTGTCTTCCTTTACGGTAATAAAGCGTAACAACTCAAGGTACAATGAATCGACAAAGTCAACTAGAAATACCACGCAAAACGAGAAAATAGTAGAGAGAGAAAGAGGAAAAGAAAAAGAGAGAAAGAAAGAAAGAGAGAAAGAGAGAGAGGCAGAGAGAGAGAGAGAGAGAGAAAGAGAGAGGTAAAAAAAAAGTAGAAAAGAAGACGAGTGAAGAAGGTACGAGCTAAGAGGAAGAAACAGAATAAGGACTGCCGGCACCATTATGGGGGCCCATAAAACACCTTCTACGGTGCACTCGAGGCGCGTGGCCTCAAGGACGTACTGCCACTTCATCTTTCTCGCTGGCTTCTTCATCCTATGCTGTCTACACTAAACTCGATGAGCAGGCAGCAAAGCGTCCCACGGGCAAAGTTCCTTTCGTTTTGCGCTTACTACTTCGATGAAGTCATACGACTGTCCATCGTTCTTCTGCATCTGTCAAAATGAAACGACAATATTATGAAATGTATTTATTTGTTATTTTCTTTTCTTTTTCTTTACTTTACTTTTTCTTTTCGTTTCCTTTTTCTTTTTCTTTTTCCTTTTTTCTTTCTTTCTTTTTTTTTTCTTTATTCATTTTACGGCTTCTCGTGTAACCTTTTCCAGTATTTAAGACGAACTCTATATCAATAAAGATATTGTTCGTCCACCGGTAGTCCATCGTGTTCATAATTCTGTAACTTTTACTGTTAGGTCAGATCCGCGAGTTCTTCGAAGGACACTAACCGATCGGTATGTATTATGACAGGACTAAACAGATTCGTCAACGCCACGCGACATCGTCCCTGAAGTTCTCAGGGTCATAATACAAAAGGTCGGACGGCTGCCAAAAAGGAAACGATATCTCCTCATTCTCCTCATAAGAAATAATAAATACTACTCCAAATTTTGAAGTTAATAATTTTCTTCTGAGATTTTAAGAAATAAATTATTTCATCATACTCCGAGAACTTAACTTAATCGTAATGAATTGTGTTTTCAAATAAATCCAAGCTCTCGTTCCTAAAATTAAATCTAAAATTAAATTTATTTACGATAACGTGAAAAGTTACTATTGCGCTTTATCGAAATCTTCGGAGGAATGAATATCTTCTTCTTTTGGCATAAAAACGAACGAAGAAAAAAAAGCACAGAGAAAGAGAGAGAGAAAGAAAGAGAGAGAAAGAGAGAGAGAGAGAGAGAGAGAGAGAGAGAGAGAGGGAGGGAGGGAGAATGAATGGAAAAAGAAAAGATAGGTAAGGGATTGACAGAGAAAATATATAGAGGTAACAGATTCTCTGATCTCGACGATTCTATCATCAGCGACTCGGAGCCCAGGACAGCAGATAAAAGGCAATTGAATTCAAATCATGAATGCGAACGAAGCGAACAAGCGAGCGAGAAAGAGAGAGAGAGAGAAAGAGAGAGAAGAAAATGGCGGGGAAGGTGAAACAAGAGGATACAGGAGGAAAAGAGACGAAAGAATAGATAATGGAGGAGGGAGAGAGAGGGAAAAGAGGTGAAGAAGAGATAGAGATAGATAGAATAAAGAGAGAGCGAGAGAGAGAGAGAGAGAGAGAGAGAGAGAGAGAGAGAGGGAGAGAGAACAGTATGAGAGAGCCCAACGGCAATCTAGTGGTAGCTTTGTGACGGTAATGGCTTCAACCCCTGGCCTCCAGCCTCGAGGCCACCCCTTCTCATTTGCCGCGGCGACTACACGTGCACACGTACAAATGCGCACGAAGATTCGTGATACAGAAAACTCACTGTATAAACGGGATTTGCCATGCGATTCGTCCGCAATTTCTAACAGCGTATGACAAATTGACCGTCGAAACATCTCAATCTATTTTTTTTTCTTTTGTTCTTTCTGTTTTCTTAAAATTTTCATCCCAAATATGTATGGATTGTTCTGTCTATGGTACATATATCTATCTATTTATAAAAATAAAATATCTGTGATTTTAATTATTGATCAAAACGTCATATTTTGTTGCTAAATAAATCATAAGAATTTTTTCATTGATATATTATTACATGCATACATACATACATTGACATACCAATTCGCATACATAGACATCCTGAATTCTATATAAATAGGGGCGTCGGATACAAGATCCCTTGGTAGCTTGAAGCCTGTTTCAGCTCCTCCCACGTAGCCTCACCGTGCATGCGCATGTTGGTGAGACTGGAGGAAGACTGACATGTTCCGCAAACATCGTAAACCGAGCGCTTCTTAATCAGCTTCTCTGAAATAACGATATTATGTCAAAAGCAATATGTGCTAAGGATGTCTCTTCTTCTCTCTCTCTCTCTCTCTCTCTTTCTCTCTTTCTCTCTCTCTCTCTCTCCCTCTCTCTTTCTGTCTTATAAATGTATAGATGGAAAAACGTGTGTTCGTCATACTAGTTAGTAACATTGTTTAACTAATTCAAAGACTGATAGTTGTATGATACATCTATGTAAACAATTTTATAAATTTATTTAAAGGAAAAAAAAAATCAAATATTATGCATATAAATAACAAAAAAAAAAGAAAAAGGTTAAAAAACTGGAGTTTCATACGTTTACAAATTATTATGTATATATACGAATTTTTGTTATTCGTGATCAAATTCTTAAAAAATACGTATATACGTATATGCATGTACGCGGACGTACGTATTATATATTATATTAAAAATATATTCGCACGAAAGAAAAGGTTATTACAGATAAATAATATAAAATTGAGTGCAAACGATGTTCGATGCAATTTTATAAGGAATGGATCCATTTTTTTCATCTATTTCTTTCGATACTGATTTAAATTATATTTAAATATAGTTAATCACTTTAACGCATTCATCACATCAAACGCGGTAAATTTAGGATTAATAAGAGAAAACGGAGTTTATTTCCTGAAATACTAATTCTTATAATTAATTTTTGTAAATATACGTTCTCTAGTTTGATACGTATAGTAATATTACATTAATTATTATTTTCTAAATGTATACACTATCATGAATTTATAAAAATTCTGTATATTAAACGTTTACCTGTTGTTGAAATAAGAGACAGGTTATAATCATAAACTTTTCGATTAAAATGCGTGGTTATATCGATATAATATTTACTGCAATTATTACATAGTTACTATTATTACATAGACGATGTAATAATTAAGTACATTTGAAAGATGTAACCTTTTATCCTCGGTTTCATGAATATTTAATCCTCATGATCACTTTCATGTCACAATCTACATTATCGACCATTCATCAGAAAGAGATCGAAGTGTCAATAGTGATTCAAATTAGAACTAATAATCAAAATTGTCGAATGTATCTATTTCAAATTTTAAAATCTACATTTGTTCTAAATTAAATACTGATTTAATAATTATGATTTATAACTATTTATTAGAAATTAAAAAATATAGAAGGAATGAAATATTATTTAACAGTTGAAATTTGGTTAACGATCATGACGATTGTAATCTGATTGGTTACTTGTTTTTGGCGGAATTATTATATAAATTTGAATATATCGAAGATATGTTGGTCAATAAAATTTTTTAATTTCTCATTTAATTTATTTTTAATTCTATTACTACCAATATTGAAATAAAAGGAATATCACATCACAATCAAGTTTAATACTAATTTTATTATGTCTCTCGTAATATATCTGCACGTCTAATAATATAATAAATATGTCAATGCTATGAAAAAAATACAAATTATTGTGTATACTCGTTGGTAGGAATAACTGTATTAGGAATTTCTTGATATTCTTGTTCAGAATATTGTGTCATATCATGTGTGTCATCCTGTTCTTTATACTGATCATCCTTATGTTCCTGTTCTTCAAATTGTGATTCATCATATTCTTCATACTGGTCATAAGAAGATTCTACTACATTAACATCGACATTTTGATCGTCTATTAAATGTTTTTCTTGCTCTCCATTTTTTTCTTCCATTGTCTGATCTTCAGCATTATATATATTATTATTGTTATAATTTCCTAAAGCATATTCATGCTGATTAGAATGATCGTATCTTTCTTCCAACTCATCTTTTTTTTGCGATTTCTTTGGATAAATTTCTCTTTTATCATTATCCACTTCATTTTGCATTTGAGTAATTTCATAATCTGTATTTTGTGAAATACGAGAAATTGTATTTCCATTTTGATTAATTAGATTCATCTCGTTTAATTGATCCGGTGAGTTATAAGATGCATTAATATTATATGGTGCTAGAAATATTCTATTTATATTATTTTGCACATAAATGTTTAAATATAATAATAATAATATATGTATATTTGAAGACCAAAAAAACTTACCTTTTTGATTATGAAAGGTATTCTTTATCTTATTTGACAAATATTCTATGTTACTTTGTAGGTTAGCCATTTCTTCCCTAAAAATTCTTCCCATAAAAAATTTTTTCCAAAGTATGATATTTTATACGAATAGTAAATTATTTTAAAAAAGTAACGTACGTGCTATTACTGTGTTGATAGAGGCATCTTGAAAGAATCTAACTTCTTTTTCGGTATTACTTTTACTTTTAGATCAACCTTAACAATACGTTTCTTGTTTGAAGACGAACCAGTATTTCCAAGTCTTGTATCCCCGTCATTGATTTCCTCTGTCAACACAGAATAGCTCTAAATATAAATCCTAAGCAATTTGAGCAAATTCCAAATTTTATAATTAAAATATATTTTTTAAATTTAATGCAACTATAAAAATATAATAATAAATTTTTTATGCAAAGCTAAAAATATACTTGTGCTTAATGTTGTTAACTTCCAAACGTTGTGTGAGAGATTGGCATTCGATAGTCAGTTGAGAGACTAGTTTAGCTTGTTTATTCAAGGCATCCTCTAGATCACCCACTGTAGCAACTAAGAAATGCAATGATATCAGCCAATTTTTAATAAACTGACTAACTTTATTTTTGCCCATGCTAGGCATAATGTCAGCATGCCGATTTCCCACACAGGATGTTTTCAAACAGATATTAAACAATGGAGTATTTTTACAGACAATATACCTAACACAGGCGTGCTATGTTTATCTATTTCTTACCATGTTTTGTGTCCATGTCCATTTTGAGTGTAGAGATCTCCTTTTTATTTTCTTGACTAGATGTATCTTTTCTTTGAGAATCTTCTGGATATATCATTTTATTAATACTGATCTAAAAGATTTTTCAATTATTTTTAATTTTTCCCTTCTTATAAATTCTCCCTTCTTTTTATTACGCGCAAATTTCAATTTGTATAATACCTCTTTTTCTAACAAAGCTATTTGCTCTAAAAGTCGCAAATTTTCACGTCTACAATGAACTAAATCTGCATCCGCTCTTTCCATACGTTGTTTATAAGCATTTATTTCTGTTTGCAATCTACTTTGCTCCTGCTTGGTTTGCCTATCATTTCTTTCTCCTGCTAATTTAGCAGCTATTACTTCCTGTTCAGCCATATCTTTTTCAGTCAAAGCTTGATTAAGATCGCTTTGTAAACTTGCTAAATTAAATATAAATAATTAAACTTAAAATATAAATGTAAACTTGCTAAATTAAATATAAATAATTAAAATTATGATATTAAACCTTAATATGTATAAAACTTAATAGTATGCTTTAAATACATTACTTACATATTCTATTCTGCAAATCCTTTTTCAGATTGTCTATAATCGTTTGTTTTTGTGACAATTCTCTTTTCAAATCCAACAACTCTCTTTGTTGCTTTTCAGATTCCAATTGTGATTTATTAGCAGCATTCCACTGAGAAGCTATATCAGCAGAAAGTTGTTCAACTTGTTGGCTGTATCTGCGCTCTACTTGTTGCCTTTCTTCAGTAATGCGTCTGCTTGCTTCGTGAGCAGCTTCTCTGAGTTTTTCGTGTTGTCTATCCAATTCATCTTTCAATCTTCTAACTTCTGTTTCTGCTTGATTTTTTTCAAATTCCATTTGTTGCGCTATCTCCATTGAATGTTTTGCCTTTTGGGTAGATTCCATTTCCTTATCTCGCATTATAGATAAAGTTTTCTGTAGTTCTTCTACCTTCATTTCGGCATCATATTTAGCTCTTAAAGTTTGATTTAATTGTGTTGTTATATCTACATTACCATTACTAAAAGGATTCTCAGATAGTTTCTTTATATTAAGTTGATTTTCTTCTTGAGCTTTTCGCAATTCAAGCTTAGCTTGAGTCAATTGTGCCTCTAACTCGCTAATTCTAGATTCAAATATTATATTGGGCCCTTCTAACATTTTTGAAGATTTATTCATTTTAGAATCAATACTACTTATATATGCAAGACTATGCTCATTAGAAATGCAATCATTTTCAGGACGATTTTCATGCTCATCGAATGCATATTTCAAAAATCCTGTTTTAGTTTTATTATGCAATTCTTCATTTTCAGCTATGACCTGTAGATAGAAATTATTTTTCTATTTTATTGAAAATTAAAAATAATTAAGAGAAAATATTATTTCAAATTACATATATCATATAAAACAGCTTGAAACAATATCTTATTGTTATAAAACATTTCATAGACATACCTCTCTGACTTTACTAAGCAAATTAGTTAATTCATTTCTACAATATTGAGATTCTTGTTCGATTTGTTCAATATATTCTTCTTGCTGTTCAATATATGAAGTTATTTCTGGTGGAACTGATTGTAATTCAGCAATAGAAAGTGCCAAATTACTATAAACTTTTGATGGATGAATACTTTTTGAGGAAAGTGGACGTGGAGTTGTTAGTAAGCAAACATTATCATTATTTAAATCCTTCATTCTTGAACCTTCGCTTATAAAACTTTGATTGTCCATATCATTCCCAGATTTTGTGATTCTATTAGATTGATAATTGCTTTTAACACATTGTTGCTTCCTATATGATATAATCTCTTATTTACATTAACACATTATTTACTGTGAACGTAATGAAAATACGAGTCTCTTACCCAGACGCATCCACTGGTAAATAAGTTTCAGCTAACAAATATTTTAATTTTGAAACAGCTTCCCTATATATTACTTCTATATAGTCTGGACTTTTTCTCTTGTTCAAATCAATTTTTTGAACTCCATTTGTTTTTCTATTAAAAGAAATCTTTATTTAAAAAAAAATTTAATTTAATTAAAAAAAAATATATATATATATATATTTATTTATATACACATATTGTACCACTTTATTTTCAAATAGAAAATTTAGACTAAAAAGATAATTTATAATAAATATACTTATATATAGATTTCCGCTAATTATAGACTGATATTTGTTTGAAATAATAAAGATACTACTACTACTTAATAGAATAAAAAAATTTGATATTTTTATATTCTGCATATGTAATAAAATATTTACCTATTTTTAGTCCTTTTCGTACGTGAAAGACCAACAGAATCTGGGTAATGAGTATAATTTCCTGATATTTTGGGTTTCGAATAAATCCTTAAAGGCAATCGCGGACGTACAAGATATGTATTTGAAACACCAGCAGTAGCAGACATTGTTGATATATCAGCGAAATGATCGCGATTGTTACTTGGATCAAGCATTTTCGCTGGACTACGCGCTCTCGTGATAGATTGCTACTAAGCTTTCGTATAAGAACATGTTTAGCGATCAATGACACGGGACTAACTGTACTAAGACCACAGTAATATCGGAAAATCGAATTTAAGCTTAGTAGCAGAGCCTGGTAGTGGATCGCGTGCAGTAAAACAATTCGTCCTTCAGAAGGATAGGCACCGTACCATCGCATGCTGACGTTCCGTGACTTATTTTTATTAGTCCTTTAGTACAGATCTTTATTCCATATTGTGATGAGAATATTTATCTCTTATTAAAAATCTTATTAAAATATTTCTAATTTTTTTTTCTTTTTTCTTTTATATATATACTGCAATAACGTATAAATAATATAATATGCTATTATATACATTTGTATCATCAACAATTAAGTAACATGTTCTTGTCTTGACGAAAATCTACCAATCCTATCATTAGTAGTGGTAATAACTGATGAGGATGAATCAATATTTTCTGTAGTTTCAGCCGTGTTCATGATATTGTAAGCTGCAATATTTAATAATAATAATTTAAGAATCATTTTAATATCTCGAGATGATCATAAATATAATATTAAAAATTTACCATTATAAGATAAAAATGGTTTTATATACAATATCATTAAAAGACCACAGATAGCGGAGCAAGCACAAACATTCGAAATTATATTTCTATAATAATCGGTAGAAACAGTAAATTTACGTCTGTAACAA